ATTTTAATAAAGAATATGTGGTTAAAAAGAAAAGAGAGAAAAATGCATTTTGATAAAAATGGGTGCCAAACAGGGCCCTAATCAAATTTGCTATTCGACTGAAGTTAGTGTTGATTGGAACTGGATGAAGTACTTGTACTTGTGGGAATGATAATTTAAACTTGAATGTCCTCTTGATTGCTTATTTATGATACCGTTCGATTGCAAAATTTTAGCGCAACACCAAATATCTAGCAAATTTTCTTGAAAAATAGCAAAGCCTACAAATCAGCCGAGTGTGAATGCATGACCATCTGTAGATTTCGTTGACAAAGGTAATTTCAAGAAAAAAGGGAAAAGAAAATAATTTCAAGTGAGTTAAGATATGAACGCACTCTATAAAGATCACTGTATCATAGTAGAGTTGAGACGATAAGATAATTATCTTAGTTGAGTCAACTTCACTTGTAATTCTCTTTACAATTTAGGATAAAATGAGAACTGGTCAAACATGAAATCATTTTGAAACAATAATGAAACTCATTCTTCAATGTCATCTTGTTCGTGAATCAAACTTACAAAATTGATAAATACAACCAAAATATAATAGAGTTATGAACATATCCAATCCATTGAATTTTCTCCCAAAATATCAAATCCATTACCAACCCACTCAATAAAAACTATTTCCAATCAATTAGGTATTAATATATGAATTTATCCACTTAAATAGATACAGCCACAACATAAATCAAACAAGTATAATGTTAAAATTTATCCACTTAATAAAATCAAGTATCAATGTACAAATTTGAATGCACGATCTCCTCTACATTGCATTGACAAAATTACTTTCAAGAAAAGAGAAAAAAGTAAATCCTAGAAACACAAATTCCTCGAAATAGCTTGAACATGGCTTGACCTATGCGCATTGAATTCCAGCCCGTGTACAACGGGATTTTCCCACTACACTATTTCACCATCACTCCATAAAAAATGATAAACAATGGAAGAATCAGACAAAAGAAAATCACATTTCAAATTTTCAATAGTCGGTGCTGTTTGTATACTTCTTCTCCACTCTCTCTCTCCCCATACAAATCCCCAATTCTCTCTCTGAGCATATACACATGCATACACGGACAAATTTATGCTAGACTGAGCTCAAAAACCCATATACACACGTTTACAGAGTTGTTTTTATTTTTTATTTATTTTTTCTTGTGTTTTTAATTATGGGTTCGGAGAGTACGTTTACTGCTCAAAAGAGAATCTCGAGCGGGCTGCCGACAACCGCTGCCGCCGCAAATGGCGTTCGTGGTCGCGCAGCCTCTGTAATCCCCCGCGGTCGGCAGATCCAGAAGACTTTTAACAATATCAAGATCACTATCCTCTGTGGATTTGTCACAATCCTCGTTCTCCGTGGTACAATTGGCCTGGGAAGCCTCGTTTCCCAGAGGCGGAAGCTGAGAATCAGCACTTAATTGAAGAGACCAACCGGATCTTGGCCGAGATCAGGTCTGATAAGGACCCCACCGACCCGGATGACCCGACTGAAGAGTTCTTGAACCCTAATGTTACTTACACTCTTGGGCCGAGAATCAGTACATGGGACGAAGACCGGAAGGTATGGCTTCAGAAAAACCCTGAGTTCCCAAATTATGTCAATGGCAAACCCCGGATCTTACTTGTTACTGGCTCTCCCCCAAACCCTTGTGATAATGCTATTGGAGATCATTATTTGTTGAAGGCTATTAAGAATAAGATTGATTACTGTAGAATTCATGGAATAGAAACTCTGTATAATATGGCCCATTTGGATACAGAAATGGCGGGGTATTGGGCTAAGTTGCCGTTGTTGAGGAGGCTAATGTTATCACATCCTGAAGTTGAGTGGGTTTGGTGGATGGATAGTGATGCTCTGTTTACTGATATGGTGTTTGAGATACCTGTTTCAAAGTACAATGATTACAATATGGTTATCCATGGGTACCCAGATTTGTTGTTTGATCAGAAGTCATGGATCGCTTTGAACACGGGTAGTTTCTTGTTCAGGAATTGTCAGTGGTCTTTGGATTTGTTGGATGCTTGGGCGCCAATGGGACCAAAAGGTCTGATTCGTGAGGAGGCAGGGAAGATATTGACTGCAAATTTGAAGGGTCGGCCGGCATTCGAGGCTGATGACCAATCTGCATTGATATACTTGCTGATTTCCCAGAAAGATCAGTGGATGGACAAGGTTTTTGTTGAAAATTCGTATTATTTGCATGGGTATTGGGCAGGTTTGGTGGATCGGTACGAGGAGATGATAGAGAAGTATCATCCGGGATTGGGCGATGAGAGGTGGCCATTTGTGACACATTTTGTTGGTTGTAAGCCTTGTGGGAGTTATGGAGACTACCCAGTGGAAAGGTGTTTGAAGAGTATGGAAAGGGCTTTCAACTTTGCAGATAATCAAGTGCTGAACTTGTATGGGTTTAGGCATAGGGGCTTGGTGAGCCCAAACATTAAGAGGATCCGGAATGACACTGTTACTCCTTTGGTAAATGTAGATCATTTTGATATTCGGCATTCGGTGCATCTGAGCAGTGGATCTAGGAGCTAGCAGTGCAACACTCTGTAGGTAATGCACTTTCCAGCTACAAATTTGGTTTTAAAGTTCAGTCTGATTTTGCATGCAATAAAAATTTGTGCTACTTCGATTATATCAGATCCATTTTACTACCATGGAAACTTTAGTAGACTATGTTTTTGGTAACTTCCACGTTCAACTAATTATACTTATAATTTCAATGTCTACAGTTTTATGTAACATTGTCATTATGAAACTCTAATTATCAGCAATACTATGCCTTTCTTCATAAAGCATGCTACTATATAACAAGGACTTGCATTACATGGATTTGGGTAGTAATTTACCCTTTAGTTAAGTGTTTAACACTTAGCACAAAAGAATATCTAAATATACCACATTGTAATTGTGGGTAGTGGGTACTGTTTTTATTTGGTTAGAGTATGTTAGGGAAGTGTTTATATAGAAATGAGTGATGTAAAAGTGGGTAGTACTTGTGGGTCATAGGAAATGTGTGGTTGTAGAAGTAGTTGAACCAAGAATATCTAAATATACCACATTGTAATTGTGGGTCGTGGGTACCGTTTCATTTGGTTAGAGTATGTTCGGGAAGTGTTTATATAGAAATGAGTGATGTAAAAGTGGATAGTACTTGTGGGTCATAGGAAATGTGCGGATGTAAAAGTAATTGAACCAAGAGTGTTTAAAAGTACTTCCCAATCAAAGGCATAGATTCGCACATTCACTCTTCCACTTGCTATTCATTATACATTGAAAAGTGCAGACAAGGCTTTTGGGAGTATAGGGATACAATGGTGAACTGAAGCTGATAGAGCTTTATTATATTTGATATTCGGGTATGAGATCCATTTGTGCAGTGGTTGTGTTAGTTGTTTTGAATTTGAGGTTGATTTGATGTGAGTGGTTAAAATAGTGTTGAAGACACCCAATTCGGGAGAAAGATTAGCAGAAGTGTTTTTATTTATTTACCTATTTTGGAGGGGATGATGATTAATATATTACAGAGTTGCGGATGAATTTATGAGGACAAAAGTTTGATCTTATGCGTTATACCGATTTGTTCAATTAAGCTCTTGGGCCCTACTCTCAATTGCCTTTTACCTATAAGGGCATCCTGTTTCCTCCTGCATGCTGAGTACTCGTATGAAACCCAGAGGTGTGGAAGAACTTCCTTTCATTTACTTTTTAGAACTAATTTTTGAGCTAGTAACAGCACTTCATGGTTTATGGGGATAATTTTAAATTGTTTGGTATTCATGTGTTAGAACTTCCTTTCATTTACTTTTAGAACTAATTTTTGAGCTAGTAACAGCACTTCATGGTTTATGGGGATAATTTTAAATTGTTTGGTATTCATGTGGTAGAACTTCTCCACATAATTGTTAGCTGAAGCATTGATAGTTTATGTGAAAGTCAGGTCCGCGGGCTAGTTTTAAGTAACCTTTTCGTGCATTATGCCTTTGGCCCCATAAAGGGGATACATTTGAGGGTTGCTAGCTTAAGATGGGTATTTATTTATCCATTGTTATGCTATCTTTTGATAAATCATGTTTGATGAATCATTTGATGATTGATGATTTGCATTATATCTTGATTGAATGTGTTGTTTTTGCAGTATACCTGATTTATTTTAATGGGCAGATCAAGAATCATCAGCTCCAGATTGTAGTCGAACATGTTCTCAAGTCCTACAGGTTGTTATACATTTTTATGCATAGCCAGAGACATGGGACAAGAAACTCTCCTTTTCACAAGATTAGTCAAAATAGAACATTTTCTTGATTTTTTGTTCATTTTTCCGTTCAGTCAGCTTAGGTAAGACGGGTCGATAATTCTGATCTTCAACTGAAGTGATGTGGGTTGGAAGAACATTTTCACTGATTTAGTCATTAAAAAGCCTCGAACGGATTGTGATTGCCACAGGTCATATACAAGACCTACTGGGAACTCTTATAGTTTCATAAACTCGTGGACAATAATATCATGTATTTTTCCTTGTTTCGTATTGAAAATTTCAAATTTTTGTTGATTTTTTCCCCCTATCCCGTGCTCGCTTGGTCCATCCCCTTGACAGAACTGTTATAGGCTGATTTTCGGTATCTTTAATTAGATATGGTTAAAAAAATAAAATAATAATAATAATAAATTTATTGTACAATATTGTGTATTAGAAATGCCATGTATGTTTCTAGATATTCACACAACATCATTTAATCATACAAGCCTCGAATAAAAATCTAGCTAGGGTTCTTTGAATAATGTACTATTTTATACCAAGTAAATTCTTTAAATCTTTCCCAGTTCAATATGACCAAAAAAAGTTCTAAATATGTGGCAAATATCTGGGATACAAGTAGTGATTTTAATTGAGATGTTAATTGTACTTTAGCAAATCTATGTCAGATCTTGATGTATACCACAACAAACATTCTCCAAATTATGAAGAGCAATAGCATGACCAAGCAAAAGGCTTTTATAGACTATGCAATGGCACAACAGCAAAAAATTGAGCATCCATGTTGAGTCATACGAACAATTAGGCCAATGCATTGATTGGCTAAGTGCAAGACCTACTGGGAACTCTTTTGAAAGGATAGCAAAGCTCGATTCATCTCTGTAATTTGATCCAATAGTTTATTGATTTTCTGCAAATAGATGCAACAATTATCAATATGATAATGCGGCTTAATTAGTGATTATGCAAATTCGATGGGATTTTTCACAAACAGTTTGTCAGCAAAGTAAATTACCTCATCTTTCTCTTTCACAACGCGAATAAGCTGATTCACACTGCCTTCCTGCGCCCTAAATATCCTCCTCCGCCGGAAATATAGAAACAGTAGCAGCATCGCCACCATTGTGGCGTAACGGAAAGTCAACGAGGACTTCAACGTTGAAGCCAAATTACTCCAGATGAGTCTCGCGGTGTTATTCACCTTGGACCGCAGTATTTCCACCATTGAATCGAACCATAGTGCGATATCAGCCGCCGACCTAGCCTTTGGTCTTAGTATAGAAGGAGATGCACTCACTGCACTGGAATCGGACGGAGAAAACGTGGCCGACGAGTTTGAGTTTGAATCGGAATCGGACTCGGAATTTTCGTCATTGCATGGGGGTGATGTTATTGATAACTCGCCGTGAACCTGCAGTATTTCTTTAGAAATCTGAAGGTTCTCGTGGTTGATTGGAGGGAAGATGATCGTTGAGTTATTATTATCATCTCCGTAATCTCTGATGGCAACCATTGACCAGGGAATGTTTGGAGGTGGTGGAACTGCGGAGGTAGCGTAGTGGCACTGGGTTTTCTCCCGCTGTATTAGACTGATGGATAGTGCTACCGGTGTCCGGGGCAGAGGCTCTGCCACTTCTTCTTCTTCCTTGGCTATGGTTGAATCTGAATCCACCACCACCATTTATGTGAAACAATGGGACTGTTCAGGGTTATCGCTCGTTTCGAGGAGAAAATAAAGATTTTGAGTCGCGAAACAAAAACGATGTCGTTTGGCCTATGGCTCAGGCGTCTCGTCGTTTTCTCGAGTCTCGTATTTCAGTTGGGCTTAAAAAGCAGACCGTGCCGGGCCTATATATTACATCATAGTTTTGATATAAACTTTCAAATTTAAGAAATTTGTGAAAATTTTGATGGTAACATTTGTAACAATATGATAAAGATTTTGTGACCCATTTATGCACTAGTAAAAAAATCAAACAATATCACATTCACAAAAAGTGAAACAAAAATTACAAATTTAATTACAAAACACAATTTTTATGTCACCACTTATCATTGGCTACAAATTATTACATTAACTGATCACAAATTATTTGTTGGTTACAATTTATCCAATTAATTAATCACAATTACTCATTTAAATGATAATAAATTATCCTTTATCTCTCCCACCTCACCCCACCCCCACTCTACCACAGTTGTCACCATCTAAATTGTCGTAAAATCTCAAATCTACAACCCACCACAACTATCACCTGTACCCTACCCTACCTTTTCTATCCCATTCATCACTTGCTTTCTCCTCACACCATCATCATACCATCACACGGCAGCTATTTGTTTTTTTCTTTCTCTCAACCTCACAACATTTCACCCCATCCTCATCACCTTTGGTGTATGTAGGTGCGGAGTCCAATAGTGTGCATGCACTGAATTTTGCCTTAATACCTCACTGCTTCGATGTCTCTCATCTTCATCTTTGTAAAGCCTTGAATCTTTTTTTTTCACAAATCTTACAACTAGGAAAATGGTTCAAGAAGTGGAGATCCAATATTTCTCTGTGGATGGCTCTACAAAAGGAAAGAATGATAGAGGTTGAGGCGTGTTCAATTCCATTTTCATAATTTATTTATTTTTTAAAAATTATTAGTTAACCATGCTTTGCTATTTGTTTGTATATGCATTTTGTTTGTGAGCTTGTATGCTGAAGGCTTAGATCGATTTTATTCTCACTTTTTTTTTTGCTATACTGTAAGGAATTAGGGTTTATGTTTTGCTAAAAATATATCATGTAAAGTCTGTGTTTGTCAAATCTTTGCCTTGATTTTGTAAATCTAGTTATGATTAAGGTTGAGGAATTTTTGTTGTTGGAATAACTTGTTCTAAGAAAAGCTTGAAGGATTATTTTGAAAGATGATTAACTAGTGAATGAGTATTGTTTATGGGTTATTCTCGTAATTGGAGGCTTGAAACACTGACTTGGAAAAGCCCAGCAAAACTCTTAGAATTTGATTGTATAAAGTTTTAAATTGTGCCCGCACTAAATAACATTCATGGCTCCATCTTTAGATGGATAGAAAAATGGTCATCACTATAGCCCTCATCTCCAACAACATTCCTGAGCCGGGGTTAGCACACTTGTGCAATTTTGTCATTCCTTACGTTGGTCATAAAACCACTACTGCTACTTTTTACAAATGTGCTCAATCATTACGATAATTGATAACTCTCAATCCTTCTTAAATGATGCATTAAACGACTCTGCTTTTTTCAATGTCATCATATTGCATCGATATTTTCTGGATAATGTGTGCCAAATGGTCAATCCCCATTTGTGTTAGACAATCCCATGCATCTGTGATTTATTTTCTATTTTGATTATGAACTTATCGAACTCTTTGAAACTATAAAATTCTGCAATTTTCCTAAACAATACAACGATGTCATTGTCCCGATCTTAGTCTTTAGGTTACCCTATCTATGGAACATGCAATAACCATGATTTACCTAGAAAAAAGTTCAACGATACCAATTATTATTGACTGTCCCGGGTCAGTCCTGAATGCAAGGTTCTTGACGTCCTCAATTATTTCTCTCAACTTTGTGAACAACAACGCATCGATAGATAATTCTCGCTATCGACTATGCTAAATGCAAGAAAGTAAATTTGGATGTTGATATATTGACTTGTACAAATGATCAACTTTCCTTTGCACTAGCTTTCAGGGTTGTACCATCGATTAGAATTAGAGGTCGCTTCATATATCAAAATCCTCGAATGCATTGCTCAAGAGATATAAAAAAATATTTGAAGCGATTCTCGCTATCGGTCTCAATAAAAAATGTTGAGTCAAGATTAGTTATCCCCATGTTATAGTAATGTCTGGCCAATTTAGCATAATTATCTTAGGTTAAATCCATTAAATCCTTCAATGCATATTCTTTAGCCTTCCACTATTTCGGATAGCTCATGACCATCCCATATTCCTGACGGACATCGTTGATGATGCCTGTAGATTTGTATATCGTCCGTGAATCCTGCAATCTGTGTATTATTTGTCGACTAATAAATCATGATCAAGCTTGCCTATGATTATTTTGATGAATACATACTTCACAAATATGTTACTACGCATACTTGCTAACTACAAAGAATTTCATTCGTATCGATCTTCGTCACTCGCAAATGCCAAACTACATTTTTGGTCCATACAAATAATTGTGAATGTAGACTTGTTTGATTTTTTTTTTTTAATTTAAACTCAAAATTATGTTTCACTGCAATCGAGCACACAACTCTAGCAAATCTCTCTTTGTGTCAATTAGAAGATCATGTACTCACCTCAGCCTATGAATTCCCACCCCACTCATGTTTATGCCTGAATAAAGCAATCAAATCATGATTTGTAAATTTCATTTCATCCTCGTTTTCTTGAACTATCTTGTGAATTCCGTGCGTAACAGGGAGATTGTGGTGACTAGAAACTGTTTTGAGAATAACCACATCATCTTTATGAGTCATCTTCACTGTATTCCAAAAATCTTTTACATTACAATTCCCTCCATTGGAATATTCGTGTTCACTTTGAAAGGCATTATTTGTTGACCTAATGGTTGACTTTTCATTTTGATTATTACAAACAAATTGAGTTTAATTCTAATTAATTGAATTTAAGAGTTGTTAGTGATTATTGTGGAATTAATAAAGAATGAAAACACGAGAATCGACATCAAGATTCATACACATAGACGAACATCCTTGGCGCCAAACGATCAATGCACAAGCAAAGTTTGGAGATCGACAAACAAAGAGATTAAAATCGAGCTTTCGCGTAAAAAATCTTTTGGAAGAAAAAAATTGAAGACATTAGATATAGATGCATTTTAGTACTCAAATGTAAAGGTAAAACACTTTAATATTTCGCATCGATTATAGCTTAAACATTTTTTTATGCACAAGACTCTTTCACGACAATCAATACTTGTATAAAAATTATTTTAAAAAAGATAAATATTTCGATTTTCAAGAGTACATATTTGCAAAATACTTATCTATACAATAAATGAGAAAATCCGTCAATTACCTGCATGAAAATTCATCACGAATGAGAAAGTCCGGAGGGCCAATTTTCTGCCCATCCGGACGTCTGGATGACCCAACGGTCAATTTATTTTACCATTCTGATTCTGACTCAAACGACTTGTTTTTACCTCGTCCGAATGTCTTGTCCGGATGGATAGAAGTTTTGCCTATTTGAGTGCTATAAATACCTCTTCACTTCCTCATTTACAGCCACAATTCTTGAGCATTTAAGAGAGTTATTTATTGATCTTTTCTATCTTATTTTCAATTTTTATAAAATCAAATCATTTACTTCTTGAAAAACTTTTTGAGTAATCAAACTTTGCAAAATCATATATCTCATTAAAGTTTTTCATATAACACTTGAGCTATATTCTCTGTGATATACCTACTCTTTTTTTATTCTAAATTAAGTTCATATCATTAATTAAGAGAGAAGTAATTGATTGTAACTTCAATTTTCATTTAAATTTTGGATTGTGGGTCGGTTGAGGTCCCGAAAAACTCAAAGGTGTAAAAGGATCGATGTTCCTTGATTGTAAGTCATCGAAAGCGTTGTAAAAATGTTTGATTGTACCATAACTCAATCAATATAGTGAAAAAGACTTTGCTCGTGACGGAGAGCTTGGTAACAGGGGACGTAAATCATTGCATTGGATCAAACCTCCATATCACATCATTTGATTTCTCTTCCCTTTTACTTATCTTTGCTTTTATTTATTACGTGTGGTTTCATCTTGTCTTTGCTCTCTTTCGCATTTATAAATATTTGACAAATTGCTACATTTTGAGTAAGTAATTGTGTTTACTTAGAATTAACTTTCGAAAAAGTTGCAATAACCAATTCATCCCCCCTTGGTTAGTTAGTCTTAGGCTTTCATTATTCCTCAATAAAGTTACGCAAACAGGAATCGACTTACGGCCTTTGTTCAATTCAATTAGCAATTTCATTTGTACTTCAGAAGTAACTTTTATAGGTGAAATCGAAATGGTTGAATGCCAGTTAAATAAAAATTCAAATTCCATATTGTATTGAAAGGGATCAATGTTGAGTATGTTTTGTATATTATGGTACATTTTTGCAAACGATGTACTCGATGTCATCACAATTCCAATAACCCCATCTCCTTCACTCATCCATTCCCATTCCCATCGACCATTTTCATTTATTTGAAATTTACCAAAATAACAAATTAGGAGACATGCTAATGCCATATCTACATTATGAATCAAAATATTAGAAAAAATTTAGATTAACCATGAGAAATTAATCAATAAGGGTAGGAAGAGAAAAAAAAAAAAAGAAAAAAAAAACCGGCCTCAATATTATTTTTTTTCCCTTTTTTATAAAATCATCTACGTATGCTATAATATTTGTCGAAATAAAATTTAATGATTTAAAAAATATAATTACTTAACAAAAATGAAATTAAACATACGTCAATATACTTATCGATTCGAAGAATTGGAAATAAACAGTGTTTGATAAGTTTATGAGATTCTAAGGTTGAAATAGATGAATAATAAAAGTTTTTATTTGTATTTGAGTAAACAGATAAAGAAAATGATTCGATTTTGAAATTTTAAGTGAGAAATGTTTGATTTATATTTTATAACTTAAATGGCATTATTGTCTTTTAAACAATCCATATTTTTGTAATTGTATAAAATACTTAAAGATATTCTTATCTT